TTTTTTTTTTTTTTAGAGCTAATGTGAGAAACAACAACAACAACAACATTGTCTCCCGATATTGTCTCCCCAATATTGTCTCCCCAAAACCTAAAAATAAATAATACACCCCAAACCCTAAACAAAAACAGTTAATCAATAAAACACACCCATATCAGTATTATTCTGTTCCGGTATTGTGTTCGGCTTTTGTGCGTTGGTCGAGCGACATGGTGGTGCTGCGGTGCTGCGGTGCTAGCCCCACCCTTGCTCACTCTACCTTTTGACCTGTTCTCCTGGACCAGGGTCTCATCAATGCAACATCTTTTTCCCAGAAGCCACGAGTTTACCAACACTGAATACCCTCTGGTCGTCGACCGACTACAGCTCCCCCCAGGCTCCCCCCGCTCTTGTTCGATAGGTGTGGGTGGGCGGGAAAATCGATCAATTCCTACAAGGCACCCCGTGTCTGCTGCTCCTCGGAGCTGCTATCTATCTGAAGCCTCTTCTCTCAAGTACGCGTTGGCTTGCCTCTCGACCAACGAGAACACACAAACTTTCTGACCTCGTGGTGCTCTTCAACTCCCCCGCATCCTTGCTTCTTTCCGAATTTCAGCACGCCTCCACAATCCACAGATTCAAATACGTACTGATTGTTCACGTTTATTCTTGCTCAAGAAATTTGGATTCTTTGTCTGCAGGCAACAAAGAAAAACCAATTAACAGAACAACTGATTGGGAGCGCAGATAAAGCGCCTTCTTGCTCCTTGCGTTTCTCATCGGACAAACCCGTTAGTAACTTGCCTAGGTTGCCCAACAAATTCATCTTTTTGTTTTCGGCCTCTGGCCTAAACAGATCCTACTCCATTAGGCATGTCCTACGCTCTGTCGCTCCGTATTCCATACGAGGAACCGACAGGCCACGAGGGCAAACGGCGGTTCCCCTACACCCAATCTCTCCCATCCCTCTTATAGAGCGAGGGTCTCCGACACGCGCATGCACGGATCAGTCCTCAAGCGATCCACAACCTTTTGTGCGGCCTGTTGATACCCCGGCCCGATGGTCCGGAAATGGGTTCGTGACCCGACCCCCTTCCCTCTGCGCTCGTGCCGGCCTTGGCGTTCTTCCCTTGTGCACCTGATCTTGTCGCATATAGTACACGCGGCATAACAGTGGGAACGCAACTTCGAGGGTCCCCTCATAAGTCGCAAGATATTCACGCATACCGTTGAATAGCCCCGGGATGAGTGGCGGGGGGGGGGGGGGGGG